AATGTCAGTATATTAAAATAATTTTAAAAAAATAAACTGGGGGCAATTCAAAGAGTATTTACTCGTACAGTAGCATTCAAGACAGACATGAGAAATTTGGGGAATGGAAAGTCATCATTGTTAAAGCAAATACCAACCATGTTAAAAGCATTAACCAGATTCATTATATGTTAAAAGCAATCTACCAGTCCGGTTTTTCTTTTTCTTTTTCTTTTTTTCATTAGGGTTTTTTTTTTTACTACTGCATTCTTGGTTTGATAGTTTGCTACTCGCTGATATAGAATTTAACTTGAGTTGATTTTTAAATTATATCAGCAAATAGTATTTTTTTATTTTTATTTACCGAACATGTTAAAATAATTTAAAAATGAATAAAAATTAATTTAAGATTTATTCAGTCTCGGTTTGGAACGAAATAGCAACAGGGCTAGTCCTGCAGTCTTCTAGAAATCAACTTTTCTATTCATCAAAAGCAAACTTGCCTTGGCTTTATCGTCAAGAATTTCATTCATTTTTCTTACCAAAAGGGCATACAGCTCCAAGAATGACAGTGCAGCCACACCAAAAAGGCGATTACACAGCTCCTAGAAGAAGTGATTGGATTCTTAAAGGAATTCCAACCTGCATTCTGCCTCCACGCTGCCCTTACCTTTTATCCTGGGGTCCGTTATGGTTGCATATTCATTAGTTTGTGATAGCCCTAAAGTGAGAGATCCTGACATTAGTAAATCCACATTCTGTAACCTGTACCATACAACTGCTGGGATTAGCAATGTATATTTGCTGTCCTTTCTACCATCAACTCACTGATAATTCTGTGTGTGCAAGGTCCACCAGAGAAAAGGGTATGAATGAAAATCCCACCAATGCTGGCTGCTATCAAAAGAAGGTATGAATGCAGCGTCCAAGTACAGTTGCCATTATCAAGTGAAATACGAATAAAGTGGTTTCAATTATGATTCCAAAGCTCATCATTTGATTGTGATAGCATCAACTAACTCCACTACCTCGAGACAAGCCATCTCAACTACATGAGTGCACGACAAACTCTCCACTACAAACCACCACTAATGAAAAATACTTGACTTCTAGTTCTATCATCCATGCATTTCAGGGTAGCAGATAAAGATTTGAAGGAAAGAAAATGATCAGAGAGCAACTGCTGAACGTGCAAAACGCCATTGTATACATGCAGGCAATGGAAGAAGATAATTCTATTGAAGAATTCCTATTGCGAAGATTACAAGCAAGGCAGATAGAACATCCTTCACAATAATATAACGATTTAGAACATCAAATTACAGTGCTCCAGATCCAATGAATTTCAGCAGACTCCTGTAGCCACAAAAAGTTGCTTCGATTACAATTATTCGCCCTCCAATATACCTCTAAACGAATCAATTGCAGATCTTTCACCCTAGGCAAGGATACCAATTGTTCAGTAGTCACTTCAAGTGGTGGAGAGCGTTGTCCAAATACCCCACGACACTGTAAGAGGTGCTGATTATGTATTTGCGTACAATTAAATTACATAAAAAAAGCATCACGAGGCAATGCTCAATGAGCTCTCCTCTCTTGTTTCATTCAAATCATTAGGATTGTCGTTTAACCTTAGGGAACAACCTGCTTCTCATCCTTCCAGATACAATTTTTTCAAGGGGAAATGAATAAGGATCTGGAGTGCACAAGAAAAATCATCACACCTTTCTATCCGCCCTCGAAGAGATGCAAAAAGAATCAAGAATTTGAACTAATGAAAGGATTTCTTGTGCTTCCCCCCTAATTTAAATTTTCAAAATAGATTCCACTAAACATGACCAGAACAAAGGTGTATTTATCATTCCCGTAAACTTTTGGAAATAATCACGTGCATATCCCCTACCACCATGCATGCTTGATAGAAGACATGCACGAGGATATTCTCTACTCTTCTACCTGTCCAGAATTCAGAGATTTTGCCTCAGATAACTTTTTCCTTGAACTCCTTAAGCTTTCCATGGAGGTCTGAATCTGCTCTGAAATACTAGTATAGAGACATCTCTGTGCTGCTTCATCCAATCCAGACGGCAAAAGGATGGGCCATCCTCTGGTAGGATTATGCAAATTACGGGACATAGAAATTGCCATTTGTGTCATTTTAGGAAGGTTGAATTCCATAGGCTCGCCAATAACTATGTTGATGCTCTTCTTACACAACGGAAAAGGAGGCCTTCTCCCAAACCAAAAATTTTCAGGCATCACCTGCAAGTTATAACCAATAATGTGAAATACTCAATGATGGCTGCATTTCATGTAAAATCCAGAAAGTTAACTGGGCCAAAAACGATGCTGTATGAAGAAATTCTAGACCCCAAATCAGTAAAATCAGTGCATGAATGAAGAACTGTTACATGTAAATGTCTAGCTTTCTGGTACACAAGGAAAATGAGAACGCAATCCTCTTTCAGTTCCGTACATGTTCAAGTCACCAATTCAAAATCTTTCAATTCTATGAATATTGAAGAAACGTTACCTCTTCAAAACCATGATGAACAATTGGCAGAACTATTGGAGTTACAGGGGAACGAACAATGAGACTAGCAATTCCCCATTTCAATCGCCTTATAGGAGCATCTTCTTGAGACACTTTTCCTTCAGGAAAGGTATGTAGCTGCTCATTAAAAGCAAGAAAAGCACCAGGACAGTGAGAAAAAAAAATGTTTCCTCATAAAAAAATATGGAACAATTTACATAATTTCTCAGACACTCTGCCTGCTAGTGTAGGATATGTATCACTATGATGGCAAGTGAGACTGAACATCACCCAGGTAAAGAAAGCCATTAAATCATGCTTCCTGCTGTTCACAAGTCCATTGCAACCTAAAAACGTGCAATATTTTTCACAATATCAATTCCAATTCAGGTTCTCATCATATTACTATTCAAGCTACTGGTTTGAACTTATAATAATTGAACCATAGAAGTTACTGCATGGAAGTTTTTCATACTTGACAGTAATGCACCAATGTATGAAAAACAGGACATTAACTGAGCAAAAACACGTTAAACACTATGCTCTCATTCATGAAAAATTGACAATACTAAGCATAACATGAACTGTCTCAATGTGTCATTGACACTATGACAGCAATCTTTCTGTCATCTAGTTACATCCATCTAGAGAAAGTGTTGAATGATCAAGCTGCTTCAGACTAAAAAGGCTCACATCTTTCACAAAATTGGCCAATGCTGAGAGGGAGGGAGGTGGAATTGCAAGGAATTATGTTTTAGCAGCCTAGTGAGGCCAGGACTTCATTTATACAATGAAGAAAGCATGGGCAATTTTAACTAATAGCATAAGGCCTGCCAGGAGAGTTCATTAAGACATAAAAAAACGTAATACTATAAACATTCAACACATTCATACACTAACCAAACTATGTTTCAGTAGAAACTAAACAACAAAACCATCTAATCATTACACCAAATAATGGTATGGCATTTTAAGTAAATACCCATTCTCCATCACCCAACCGCTCAAGAGCTTCATTCATATGCTCTTGATAGATTCCACCACCCCTTGTAATAGGTATACATTTCCCTGCAGAATTCACTACTTCAGACCCAAAAGCTTACTAAAAAAGTATCACATAAATTACTTAAAAACAAGGATTAAATCGCAACCACAACTGAAGATGGAATAGAACATGGCCTGTCCTATTTTAGTACTTTCAAGTGATATTGTTTCAGCGCCAGCTAAGGTTTGAACCAACTACAGAACACTAAATTGCAACTGATTTTCATATACATAGCTCAAATTCAAAAAAGAAAATGAAACAAAGAAAACTCCAAAACCAACAAACACAATAGACAATTTAACACAAAAATCAGCAAGGAAAAAAAAATACCAATACGGAAAAAATAAGACAGCAATGAATTCTTGAAACAAATGTCTTCAGCTGCAAGTGCCCATCTAGCCAAATTTGAATAAAAAATAGGAAACCCCTTGAATCCCCACATTACTGGATCATCCAACCTGTCAAAAACAACAGCAAAACTCTAAAAAACCAAATTTTCCCTTCATTAACGGTCAAAGAACCAATCTTTACCAAGAAATCAAGCATTAAACAAACAGAAAAAAGAAACCCAGAAAAGAAAAGGCAACCAAATGAGCATAAGTTACGTGGACATGTGATTGCTAACAGTGATAAGGGGTACCCCAAGGGGTCTAGATCGAACAAGATTGATAAGGGTATCTGCATTATGGACTGTAGTGGTGTTAAGAAGATTGGCAACTGCCTTTGCAAATGCTCCAACGGCCATAATCACCATCTTTCTTGGTATTCCTCTCATGTGGCTCGCTCTTGCTGCCCACTCCATCGTTCGAGTCATTTTTTTCTTGACTTGTTTGCTGTTGCTGCTGGTCTGCGATGGCTGTATTTTCTTTGCTGAAAGTAAGAAAAGTCAAGACCTTGGGCCTTTAGTTCGTTTTTTGTTTTAGGCCTATTGTGCTGGCCCTTGTAAATACAGCCCATGCTTATTACTCGACACTTTACCCATCTAATAATATAAAACAATCTCAACAAATAAAATCATGCTATAAAACAATAAAATTGTAAAAGAATAAAATTCTCTAAATAAAATAAACTATAATATAATTTTAAATAAATTTTAAAATTATTTAAAAAACTAAAATGATGAAAAATTAAAACATATAGAATACAAAAAGTAAATATGAGCAATTACAACTTCATACCACATGTTGAATTACATAATGGTAATGGTGATGATGATAATATAATTGTGGTTGAAATATTTAAAATAATAATTGATGTGATTTGATTTTTTAAAAAAAAATGTTTGGTAGAATATCATGAATTAATAATATTTTTTAACAAATGAATTTTTAAATTGATATAAAAAAAATAGTTTTTTTATAATGTTTTTACACAAAAAAATATTGGGAAATTAAAAAAGAATTTCTTTGTAAAACATTTTACACAAAACAAATTAATGCTCCCTCATCTAATAATTTCTTTTTACGGTGAATTCCTAAACTTAACACACCATTTGCCCTTCATTTTCTATACACACACACACACACCTTACAAATTAATATAAGAAGGAAAAACGTACATAATCCTTGCATTTTCATCCCACATATGTTTTTCACAAGAAATTACGAAGACAATAATATTAGAACAGAAAGACAATAATATTAGAACAGAAAGACAATAATATTGTGATGAGACATGTTTCTCACGTAGCTAGGAAATAAAACACACAAAATAATTAAGGACTTCGTCGAGCCCTACATTAATTACATACATGTCAAGAGATGATGACTGAAGAGATGGCAATCACCACTCCAAGTGCACCCCATTATTCAAACACACTGTAGGCCGTGGACTCAGCGTCGCATCACCTTTTTATTCAAACTTTCATAGATATTAATCATGCCTCTATCGTATTGCTCCACACCATCATTCGCTGCATGATCGATCGATCCTAGCGACGGAAGCTCCTGACTGGACGGGGTGGATCAGCCTCGTCGTCCCGGAGCTTCACAAGCGTGTAGGTGCCAGCACCAGCTAGGGCTCCAAGCGTCGGTGCCACCAGATAAATCCAAATTTCCTTGTAATTTCCTGCAGCTACTGCTGGCCCCAAAGTCCTCACTGGATTCATTGAACCACCACTTGATGGCCTGCACACGTCAAGAAGATTACAATTACACCACTGCACTTTCCAATATTTTTCTTCACCAAACTTTGTATTCTGTATCGTAAGCATTATATATTATGGTAAAATCACTATATTCTTGTCAAAGAGAATTATTTAGTTTTCATACTGTATATGAAAATTCCCGGAGCTTCTCATTTTTGGTTCTTTCTTGGTTTTTGTCCTTTCAACGAGCAAGGTCAGGCCTATCCCTTCACCATTTCTCTAGCCATCTTTAACCCCGGCCCTAGCTAATGTGGTGTCATGTATTGCTAGCCCGCCTACCCTATTCGGGGAATCAGTACTGCTATAAGATACGACATTTTTAGGCTCTTCCGCATGCAAGGCTTGATATAATTGACTTTATAGAGAGCTAGATTTGTTTCCTTATATTTCAACTTCTGTTTCCTACTTTCCATGTTTCGTCCCAAACGCCTAGCTCTATCCTCGAGATCAAATTACTGAAACAATGAAGTTTTCAAAAATCTCTATAAACAAATAAATGATTGCCTAAAGAAGGAAGGAAGACTTAAAGAGTAACTTACCCTGCAACAAGAATGTTCAGCATAACCGTAGCTCCGACTGCTATTCCTGCCAGCTCTCCCACCTTTTCATCAAAAGAAATAAGAGAGAAAATTATAAGCTTATGCATGTGTGTGGAGATCATGCACTCAAGTGTTAGTACAAATTAATATATTGATTCATGGGACTGAGCCAAGTTTTGTAAAAGTGGTTTTTATTTCCTTAGGAAACAAACACCATCTAGGTGGATGTAAAGAAATGAATTACTAGGAAGAAGCACTCACAGCCCGAGTGTCAGTGGCAACGGCAGTGACAACAAACAAGAGATTGAAAGTGATGAAGAACTCAAGCGCAAAAGCTTGGCCATTGCTCACAGATGGAACGGTAACCCCACCAGACATGAAGGGGTGGAAGACTCCTTTAAGAGCAAAAGAAGCACATATGGAAGCCGATACTTGTGCTGCAATGTAGGCAGGCACTTGGACCCAAGGGAAGTGGCGTAGAGCTGCAAAAGTAATGGTGAGTGATGGGTTCAAATGAGCTCCAGAAATGTGTCCAGTTGACAGGATTATGATCATCACTGCCAGCCCAGCACAGGCTGCATTTCCAATCAGTGTTTCTGCTTGATCATACTTCTGGTTCACTATTGGTCCTGCTGTCGCCGTGAATATCAGGATGAAGGTTCCCACAAATTCCGCTCCAAGCTGCATGTATATGTCAGTAATTAATCCGTAAAAACACCCAATCATCAATGCTTGATAATATTCGAAATGAATATTTTGACACGAATTATAGGCATTTTACCGCATTTTAAAATCATTAACATAATTCAAGAACTCAATCACTCAACAAATTAACAACAAAAAGAACTCATATAATTTAGCTTCACATCAATTGGCTTTACATAGGAACTGATACATTCCAATCCTACTTTTCTAATGCTTGATGACTGGTGAGGATGCTCTCAAGAGACAGGCAGACATAGAAATATTATCTTCTAACAAGATGATGATGTACGCAGTATTACTAACAAACCTTCCTAACATTATCTTTCTAGGTGGTGGAGTGTCCGGCAGGAATTGTTTTTAAAATTTTGTTTTTTTAATATATTAAAATAATAATTTTTTGTTTTTTTAAATTATTTCTAACATCAATATATTTAAAAAATTTAAATTTCCATAAAATACCATTTAAAATACAATTCTAAACTACAAGAGTAGGTGTGATGACTTCATCATCTTAATATTTTGGGTTATTTTCTCTGTTTTACTTGTCCTGAAGAGTACTACTATATATATATATATATATTCCATTAATTTCACCTCTGTCACCTGCTGTATTTCAAACCACAAACTTAAGGTACAATAAGAAGCTTATTAGAATAAAATTAACCCACAAGCTCCCATGCACCTCCTCGTAGTATAGCATGCTGGTGTATTATTTTAGTTAATTTGTAACAAAGAATTAATTAATCATGCCTATAATTTAATGAAAAAGAATTAATGAAAGAAGTGGACGGCTTAATTTCTAATTTTACCCCTCAAAGGTTAATAATGTAAGATTAACAAATATTAACTCCGGCTATGCGACATCATGGTTATGTTTCTTAAAATAGAAAAAAACAGATATAAACGTGTTTGATTGCCTCAGCAAATATAAAAATTGAACATATTTTCACACAATTTCAAAATAAAAATAAAAATTGATTTTTTTCTTGTCTCCTCCTCTTCTAATTTAGGGCAGTAAACAAACCCTAACTATGAGACAGTACATCACATTCAATTAGATTTACAAGCCACTAGGCTTGTTCATGTATGTCAGGGTATCAAACCCACGGTCCACCATCTAAGACTTCAGAGTTTGGATGGTCATGGTTATTAAAATTGTCTTTTTTAAAAAGATTTATTTAAAATTAATTTATTAATTTTAATATGTTATATTAAAAATAATTTTTTAAAAATGAATATCATTTCAATATATTTTTAAATAAAAAATATTTTAAAAAATTATTATTATTATTATCCTTTCGAACATTCTTAAATCTGTCGGGGGTTGATAATTGGATGCAATATAAAGTGCAATACCATTCTATCAACCTCTTATTACATCGAATTAAAACCTTAGGTAAAAAAAAATGCAATGTCACAATCATGTATAAAAATAAAATCTCTCACTGCCCAAAATTTCACCCATTTCACTAAAACTCGGGAGGATAACTGCAAATAAGGAAGTCAACATTGCACGCAATAATAACTGCAGCGTTGAGTATTCAACGTATCAGAATTGGAGGTGTCTGTAGTGGCCTTTATTTCTTTTATCCTAAGCCAAAAACATTAAATTAATTTTTTTATATAGTTTTAATATCTTAATATTAAAAATCATAATTTTCAAACATTACTGTCAGTGTAGTTACAGTGCAATCCGAGTTTCTAAAATAAAAATATCAACAAGTCCCAAGAATCTAAATTATTAATTGAAATCTGATAAGCAAAGTTTAAAAATAGTTTTATATTAATTCCATGATTTTCTTTCTATCAAAATCAATAACAAAAGAAATTATTATATGTAATACACGCATGATTAGAAGTAACGCCACGGTGATGTGTGGGGGAGGGGGGCGGGGGGGTGGTTTCTTGCATGGCAGCTAGTGGTATCCATGGGAGTCCAGAAACAAGAAATAAAATAGAGAGAGATGATCAGAGAGAGGTTTTACCTTGCGAGTTAGAGAAACATCAGGAGCAGGAATATCAAGGAAGCACGTGTGGGGTTGACCCCAAGTTGGAGCGGTGACAGGCAAGCACTTGCATTTTGGTATTATTTTCCTATCTGAATAGGATAGTGAGTCCACCCTCAGCCCAGTAAAAAGTGGCCCTCCCGGTGTCCCCGGCGTGTTCGGTGCCGTCACCGTCGGTGTCTCAGCTTCTTCTGGGCCCGGCATTCTTCTCTCCCAACTTCTTTCTTTCTTTTTTTGGTTTTTGATGATAACAAGGAACACTATAACAAAGACACAAACAAGTTTTTTTTTTTTGGAGATAATTGAAGGATGGATAGGAGCGAGGGAACAAAGACACAAACAAGTTTTTTTTTTTTTTTGGAGATAATTGAAGGGTGGATAGGAGCGATCGAGGAACAGTTACATGTTTTGAAGGTTTTTATAATGTTCTTGCTACAGGGTGATTTTGATCTTAGCCAGGAGGATCTACAACAGTACTAGAGGAAAATTGTTACTCCTGATATGGAGACATACATAACAAATTACTACGACTAAAAATTGTTACTCCTGATATGGAGACATACATAACAAATTACTAAGACTATTTTTTTTTTTTTTGGTTTTTGGAATGATGGGAATGAAGAACGACTTCAATTACATGCTTTACAAGCTTTTATAAATTTTCTTCTACGGAATAGGGGAAATGAAGCGAGCCAGGCTATGAACTACAAAATAAAGGCAGCTAGATCAGATGAAGCAATCTATGCATGGACAAAACTAGATTTTTTTTTTCTTTTCTGGGTTGGGGGGGGGGGATTTCTGGGATTTTTGAGAAATGCAAAGACTTACATGCTTCGAAAGTTTTTATAAGGGTTTGGCTAAGGAAGAACGAGAAAATCAGACCGATCCAGCTTCAAGACTAAAACAAAGCGAACACAAAGCTATAGAGCATAGAAAGCTGAGCAAGATGAATAGGAAATGGATAGAGGCAATTAGAGAGCAATAGGGATTACTGTTCTAATAAAATCTGTAACAGAAAAGAAGAGATTGGAACACGACAGGCTGCAGGGAAGTCAAGGAGGAAGAAGAGAGAGTTGGTGAATGTGTGTGCCAAGCACTAATGCTATGTCAAAGCTTATATACACGAAACGAGGCTCCCATGGTGTAAATTATTCATATTCTATCAAGAAAAAGTCACTGCACAACACATCATCATCCCATAACTGCTCTTAGCTTCACCACATGATGCTAGAGTCACTTTACAATTTCCTCACAGGCACATTTTCTGCCGTGTGATCTCAGTAAACGCCACATGATGACCTCAAAGGGGTAGCTATATCTGATCATGCACTGTCATGCCATCTTTTTACTGGATTAAAATAATTTCAATACCAGCCAATCATGGAATAAACAAAACAAAAAGAACCATCCTCCCTTCCCCTCAATAATAAACTACAATAATACAAAACTTGCATTATTTTACAGGACGCGTCCATGAATAATAATGCATCTAGCCATAATCCCTTCTTTATCAGCTCATACAAATATTTAAGCTTCCAAAGCAGGAGGCGAGGGGCTCATTTTGAGAGAGTTCAGGAGGAAAAATTCAACATCCAATGATTTAGTGTGTGTGTGTGTATATATATTTTGGAATACATTGAGATTTTTTCTATCTCGATTAGACAAGTCATTCCGTTGAAATTTTTTTTTGTTTATGCTTGAATTTAAATTTGAAATGAATAAAATTTACAATTTGAGCCAACACTTTGAGTGCTAAAGAATCAATACATGACTTCCTGAGATTTCAATTATTAGATTAAAATCTTGGATTGAAATTATATTTTAATATGATATCATAATTTTAACAATTATATATTCACTAGATAAGTGTCTAAATTTCTTAAAAGGAATGAAAAATTCATGTCATTAACTTAATTGAATTTAATAAATTCATGGATCCAAAAATCAATTATCTTCTCGTGTAACTTCTGGGTTAAAATCCAATCTTTTAAGTGAGAAAGTCGTTATTAATACAATTATGCCAGCCGAATACAATCACTTTGACCAGAAAAATAACAAGAAAAAAAAGAAAAAATCAATCTCATTCAATTTAACATCATTCAATTTAACATGTTAAATCTATATAACTAGTTTGTTATACTAAAATAATATTATTAAAAATAAATTAAATAAACCAATAAAATTTAATTATTAAACAATTTAATATTAGAGGCTAAAACTAAAAATAAAAATCATTTTCTTTTTTACAAAAAACAATGAAAAAATATTTGACTCAATTTAGGTTAATTTATTAACCTATTGACTATAATTATAGAATTTAGATAATTTCATAGAAAATAACAAAAAAAATATAAAATTCAATTTTTAATAAATTAAATATTAAAAAATAAAAATAGTAAAAAATTTTTATATAAAATAAGATAACACAAGAATTTTTATGTGAAATTATAAGTTAATATAAAGTTATATTTAGAGTAACATCTAAAACTTAAAATTTCCGAGTTGAGAATGGTTCTTCATATCGAAGATCAAAAGAGAAATCAAATGGTATATATAAACACGTCCGCAGCTATCTGTTAGGACACTTTAGTTTATTTTATATGTAATGAGGCATAATATATCATTTGACCGACAAACAACCACTCCGGAATCATGGCATCTCAACTTCAATACCAAGGTTTAGCTCTCCCATTTGCCTTAATCTAACTCAGCACTTTACCATTATTTTACTTTTAAAGAGAAACCCACTTGGGGACCCTTGCCCTCCATCCCTTTTAACATCCCCCACATGTTTGATTATATTCTGTGGTCAGTTCACCTTAATTTGTTCTGTTTTGCCTCTTTTTTTCCATTAAAATTTGATCAAGCATGCAGTAACATTGATGCTGACGATGATGATAGTCATAATGATGCTCATGTCATTATGGCTCCTTAGTGCTGTACTTAAAAATATGATGCTCATCATGAAGATACAGTTCCAGGAAGCTGCTATGATCCTCCAGAATTTGGAACATGAACGTAGAAACAAAACATTGAGTCGCCTTTGCATTGGTTGCTCTAATCTTTAAATAATAGAGGAAATTGCATGCGTACGTTCTTAATCCATCTTGCTTCTCTTCGCGAGTTAACTTGTAGATGGATTCATCATCCGGATGGCATCTAAATTAAATTGAGTTTAAATCAAAATAAAAGGGGAATTAAATTGGTGTGACATGATAAAAAAAATATGTTGATTTATAACCCAATTGGTATCAGAAAAAACCCAATATAAAATCGGTTAAACCCATTAATTTTTTAAAATTATATTATTTTTATTTTTTAAAATAAAAAAAATTAAATTAATCTAGATTAGAAAAAATCCAACTAATTCATGACACATGATTTGATTTATTCCAGGTGGATCTAAAATTAAATTTAAAAACTATATATATAACTCATGAAATTATAAAAAAAACCTTTTAAAGCAACTTATATCGAATAAATCTATGATTCTCAATTAGATGCTTAACATTTATAAATTAAAGCTCTCAATTTACTTCTTTTTTTCAATCAAAACCACTACAAATTTTCAACAAAGAATGTCAATTTAATGGCATCATTTTTATGAATGTAAAACATGCAATCCAGATGGAATATATTAGCAAAATATTGACAACAAAAACTCAATTCAAATTCTGATTTTTCTCAGATCCAGTTTGTCTTATACTAAATTAAGGTCTATCAGTTACAATCTAGAAATTAATTCAAGATATTTCCAAGACTCTTCTATTTCTAGTTCAGGTGGTTGATATTATGGTATAAAGTATATTTTGTTTGATGATATATTAAAATAATTTTTTAATATTCTTTTATTTTTCAACATCAACATTGCAAAAAAAACATTAAAAAAATTATTAATTTAAAGTTTATTTTTTAAAAAATAAAGTTTTAGAAAAGTACACTAGAACGGTGCGGAAGGAATGGATAGAAATTCCAAATTAAGAGGCGTCATAGTGTCGATTAACAAGTAAATATTAAATTATGAAGCTAGAAGCCAAAGTGTAGCAAATGTTCTTGCCAACTAGAGAGAGAGAAGGTTCCAGAAGGACAATATTGATAGCTATCAACTACTCTTCTATGTATATATTGTACATTAATTTCTCCATGAATTATTGGAGAATCTTAAAATTATTTAAAATCATAAAAAAATAAAAAATTCTTTAAATACACTTTTTAAAATATAAAAACACTATATATATATATATATTGTTGTTGTTTTTGTATTTTAAAAAGTTTTGTGGGTCTAATTCTCCTTGATTAGGTTATCATTTTATATTCAGAAAATGTGATAAAAAAATTAAATTTATGAAATATAATAGGCTGAAAATGGATGATTTATTTAAGATTAGATCATAAAATAATTTGATGATAATAATATATTAATATTAAGATTTGCCGGTGACTAGTTGGATTAATTATACGGGAAAATAATAATATATTTTAATGCCCAGCCTGCTTCTATTTTAAAATATCTTTTAGGTTTCTTTCAAAGTCCATGGCTCTAAGATAAAATAATTCACTATTTTAATCAAGTTGATCCAATTAATAAATTTCAATTATATCTTTTTTTCTTTTGACTTATTTGGGTTTTTCTCTTAGAATTTTGTGCCTATTTTGTTTTTTCATTTCTAAAGTATTTTTAAAAAATAATTTTAATATATTGGTACAAAATAATTTTTTTAAAATAATAAAAACATTATTTTGATACATTTTAAAAAATAAATAATTTAAAAAATAATCATGATCTCACTTTTTAATTACTTCTTCGACCGTGGGTATTGGCTTGAAGATGGGGAGCTCTGCTTTTCGATTGGTTGATTGTAAATAAATAAATAGAATAAAAATAATAATATTTAGTGAAATAGTCAAGTGCATGCAAAGGCACCCTCGTCTCGATATAAAACATGGTCGTGGTGAGTAGTGGCTCTTACATTATGGAGTAAATGGTAATCTACTTCCTAATTTTTTTAGAAACTAATAAGTTAGCCACTTGATCAATAAAATATCTTTTTTATTACACTCTTACCGGCTATGCAATTGATTTAGGTCTCCTTGTAACAAAGTCATTTCAAATTATTATTATTTTTTAATTAAAATAATATTTTTTTGTTTTTTTATTTTAAATAAAGCTAGATTTTAAACGAGTCAATTGAGTGGTAAATTGACCCGGTTATGTCAAATTAATCTCTATCTATTTTAATTTGAAATTATGTTGAGGCTAAATTGATTAGTTGTTTTAAATCAATCTTATTATAACTTAATACTTCTATGAGTAAATCGTCGCCAAAATAATTAGCGTTCACATTAAGGTATCAATTAAAGTTCACATGAAATCCAAAAAGAAATCCAAAATTGAATGAACTAATTTATTGATTTCCTGAGAATACATGACCGATTAAGTAATAATTTGATCAGTTATATAAAATAAACACAAAAATCATTAAAATTGTACTCAAAATTTATGAGCTTCACCACTTAATTTTTAGTAGTGGTAGTGGTTGAGAGAGTTTGATTTTTTGATTTTTGATTTTTTCTTGAATTTGTTTTATGTTTTAACATTAAGAATAATTTTTAAAACATAAAAATTTTGATATATTTTCAAGTAAAAAAACACTTTAAAAAACAATAATTATCATAATTTTAAACACCTGAAATTAATTAAGAATTAAAGTTAATGAAAGAACTAATTTCTTCTAAGATTTTATTAGATGGGCAGTGCCCTTTTTCTCTGCGAGGGTTTTGAGAGGAGTTGATGCCACCAAATATTAATTAGCGAACACTGAATTGTGCTGAGATTCCTCTACCACTCACAAACTGGCTCTTTTTAAGTATTCTGCGCAGCTTTGATTAACCTAGCCTAATGACAGAATACTTAGCTACCAAGTCCACTAGCACCTTCTTAGATCTCTTGATTAATGTGCTTAGCTAACTTAATCACAACAAACAAGTATATCTTTGTGCAAATCATGTGTGTCAGTAGGGAAATTCTGCCTCTTAGTCATGCCTCCTTTATTTCTGTACTTGCTTGGCTATATACCTTTAATCACAAGATATCCCCATCAACAAGTAACTGGGAATTTCTTCCATGAGCAGCAGAGGTTTTTTCTTGAAAAAGATGCGCAGAAGAAATGGATGTTTCAATGCATAACACTTGCAGACAAGATGTAGTGGAGGGCCTTTTTGGGAGAGGCCTTGAATGATGAAAGTTAAGACTCAATAAAGTATCAGGATCTCTCCCCTCTCGAGCTCCTTTCCTTCCTGTTCTCCATTGTGACTTGCTCTTTCAAGCACAGTCAATACTCGAAAAAAACAAAACCCAACTTCCCCTCCTAGACAAAAGGGAAGATTCCTTGAATATTTTATGAAAAGCACATTTTGCATGATTTTCTCCATGTATGGAAGTGGCATTCTCTACTAACTATTAAGTGGTTAAAGCTAATCAGGAGTAAAGTGTACACCTTATATCTTAATTGTGTGGCATCATTCTGTCAGAATAATTCTGTCCAAGTCCCACAAACTATCGAATTTGAGATCAGAAATGCTTAGGAGAAAAAGTTGCTGTGGATTGCACTATAATGATAGCATGTGGGATACACCAAAGTGGTTTGACCATCAAGTATACTTCATTTCTTTCAAGCTTAATGGGATTTTGTGTGGCAGAAACTGATGTGTCTGTTGCGCAGAAGATACACCGCATCATTCTTTCCGCTCTTTTATGTTCCTTTTCTTTTCGAGTGCCAAAGGACTTTGCCACCCAATCAACTTTGCATCAATGCCAACCCTAATCATGAACCAAGCAACACCAGCAGTATCTCACTAGAAGCTTCTGACTAGTACTTCAATGAATGGCAGAGTTTCACAGAGACAAGACTAGTGTTAAAGAGACATGGATTGCCATCCTTATTTTGCTAGCGTAACTTATTTGACTTGGGAATAATAACAAGGCAAAAATGTAGGCATTGGTCACTGACAAGATCCCTTTCGGCCAGATCCTGTCAAATCTGCATTTACATGGTCAAGAATGCATGCTTATATTGGCATGCACTGGAACAGCTATGAGGAAAAGGAATTACAGGCAAACAAAAGAATCACTCTTCATATAGATCTTGGTATTTAACTTGGAAAACATGTTCTACTACCAATCCATTACCATTACCAGAAGAATTACAATCGAGATCAAGAAATGAAGCTGTGAAAAACCCATTACTCATCACAATATATATATATATATATATATATATATATATATATATATATATATATATATATATATATATATATATATATATGCAAATTATCTGTGAAAAAATGAAGCTGCTAAATTACATTCAGATAACTTGCTTATTTGAGAAATGATGAAGAGCCTGAGGAGAAATCAATGATTAAGATCAGATTCTTTATCAACTCAAAATGCAAAATTTTAATTAAAGACACTTCTATGTTGAGGGAAGGTACTCTAACTCGTACATTAGAATGACAAAAATGATCGATTGACTAAACAGGGTCAATAATCAGAGATTATCCTGCAGTAAATAGGCGGAGATGAACACAGACAATGCACAAATAGATAAAACTAGCAGAAGACCAGAAGGAATCAATTTTTGGGTAGCTGCCACTCGTATTCCTGGATGGTACAAGGATAAAAAGAAAGAAAAAGGCAATAGAAACAGTCAAATTCACAAATTATGATGTACATACTACAAAGGACCAACATCAAGATACCTAGGACATTCTGAACAAAGAAAAGACTTACCAAATACAGAAGAGAATAGGAAGGCTGACCCAAACCCGAGGGAATCCCCGATAGCTTTTGTCTCCGGAGCTTGCATAAGCAAGCAAGCCTACATGGAAAAGGCAAGCTTAGTTATCAATGTAGTTGCACAAACTTTATAATCTTGTTTCGCTGTTTATGCTACCTCCAACTTGCATTTACACAAGTTCATGTGTGATTGTATACGTGCACACATTCCCAACATTTCTGAAAAACAATCTAGTACTGCTAATTCACAAAAAGCGGGCAGCATGTTTTAACCACCTTCAGCCTTGTCATAATGCATTTTGAACAGTCTAGTACGGTTAATCATAATAGAGTATAATGGTATTGAAAATGTTGATTTTGTATAGTTCGTTCCAGGTCTAACATTGCAGATTCTTTCTTTTGTTTTTTCTTTTCTTTGGATAGGCAAATAAATTCATTAACCAAAAAGGAACAGGTGGCTAACACTTGTACAGAAAAAGCATTAAGCATAAAGGTAACAGCGATAATAAGCTAAATACAACTGATGCAAAAAACCTTAGTATAGTAAAGTAAAGATCTAAGAAGACAAAGGAAACTAGCAAGCAATCCTCACAATCCCTTTAAGCAACAGTCTGAGCAAAGCTGTAACAGCAATAGCATAACCACTCAAAAGGAGCCCAGGTAAGTTTGCTCTACGATATAATTTGATAAGAGTGGCCATTCTAATTTTGCACCAAATCTTCTGCAAAAATCAAACCCATCTCCACACACCATCTTTAAGCAAAGCTGCAACAGCAACAATTTACGCACTCAAAAAGAGACCAGGTATGCTTACAAACTCATTTGAATCTTCAGCAGACCCAAACGCTGAATTCAATCTACATATGGCATTTATTGAGAAAAGCTCTTGTGCTTGAAGTACTCCCAGCTCAAGCAGTCAAATGTTCCATTCTTATACTGAGCATTAGAAATTATCCAATGACTGACACTTTCCCTATTGAACTATCCTGTTTCTATCCAAGTTTAGGGAGTATACATAATCATATCAAGAATAGGCATAGAATTGGGGTTCCATCTACTTACACCGATCACCTAGACTGCACATCAACTTGAATGCCTTGCTCTGCTAGCTTGTCCTGTTTGGAATGACAGGACTTGGATTAGCAAGTTCAAACCAATCTAATACTTTTCCATTCATCTTTAATAACATTCCCCAAGGGCCATTGCAGTAAAGTTCCTATCTCAAGTTGATTTGAGATTCGACAATTCCACATACTACTCGTTCTGTTTCAACCAAGTTCTCAGATTTGGCAGTGAGTTCCAGCCCATAGTTTCCTAGAACTTGATACATCTTAAGGTCGCTGTATGATCATGGGGGACAGAGGACACCACTTAGCATAGTATGTATGGCATTGAGGGTATGCTCGGCTGGTTCACTATTTGGAATGGTGGTATGCTTTAGAGTGCTTATTGGGGTGGCTTATTATTTATTACCAGTGAAATCAATTTGACGCCATTAGGAAGACAAGTAGATTTTTTAAAGAAGCATCCATTCTTCTTCTTTCCTTCACTCCTTCATCCCACATCTTCTTTCACCATGTATAGCACCTAATTAATAATTTGGGTGGTCAGTTTTGGCAGTGCAATCAAATGGAGACCAAGATTCGCTTTTACAGGGGGTCTAGGACAACTATTCCACTCATTAAAGATTGAGGGTGTCATGAGTCCAGAGTTAACAATGTGCTCTGCCCATCATCAGAAACATGAGAGAGATCAAACCCCACCTTTATCTCTGTGCTTTCAAATGAACTAACTATCGTAAAGAATCTTAAGCACTACAAACACTCTTTTGAAGTTCAGAACATGAACTATCACAAATATGGAAAGCCTAACAATGAGGCATCGTTCTAGTAGTCAAGGACTCAAGGCTAGGACTCAACGTTAGGACTCGTAATGCATCAAAAAGTTCATACCAGATTTTAACTAAATAGAGAGCAATGACAGAAACTTAAGCAAAAGTTACCGTTCCCATAAGAGCAGCCCCTGTCAACCCTCCAAAAAGTGACCCCTTGCTTCCTGATTTACCCGACTTCATTCACAAAAATGCAATCTTTATAAGCAAAAACAAAGATAAGGCAACAAAGGCAAAAAAAAGAAAAGGAAAAGATTCAATTTTTACAGGCAAAGAGGCCACAGCCAAGAAGAACGAGACCATAGGCAGCAGAGGTTACAGGAGCAAGATCTGCCAACTGACATTTGCAGCCAAGACGTCTTCTTTTCGAAATACAAGGAGCACTGGAATTGGATCTTCTCCCATTCCTTAAACAAGAAAAAGAAGAGAACCCCGGCGAAGTTACTGAGATTGTGGTTTTTTTTGGTGTTTTAAAAATATTTTTAAAAATTAAATTTTTTTATATTTTTATTTATTTTAAATTAATATCTTTTATATTTTAAAATATTTTAACATACTAATATTAAAAAAAATTTAAAAAAAATAATAATATATATTTTAATATAAAAAATTATTTTAAAAAAAAACACAACATCACTATTTCTATTTCATATCTGTATTTCTGTCTTGGAACTACTCAATGGCGGGAACCTCGTAGGAATCAGCAAAAAGGAGCGAGACATTATCGCTTTCTGACTCTCGCTGTCTTGTCTGTCTTCTCACTGTCTACCGCTGGCACTTGGCAAATAGTACTTGTGGCTAAAGAACTTCTTTTTTTTTTATTATTATTTAATTTGGGCTAGTGCAGTTTTAAATTTATAATGTTGATTCTACGTAATATTAAAAAAAGTTATTTTTATTTTGTTTTAAATTAATATTTTTTTAATATCTTTATATCATTTTGATATGTTTATATAAAAAATAATTTTAAAATAATTAAAATAATATTATTTTAATGTATTTTTAAATAAAAAATATTTTTTAAAAATTACAATTATATTTTTAAGAAGACATTTTAAATTTAAATTAACTAGTTTTTATGAATATTTTACTTTTTAGAATAAAGTAAAAAAGGGCCATAGACCCTTTACTTTGGGATTGGAAAGTATATAGCTAAATTCTGAAATATATTTTTTTAAAATATTTAAAATTTAATTCAAAACTTTTTTGAGTTGAAGTTATTAATGGATGATAATGAATAATTCAGTTTATAGAAGTTCATAATTCATTATTTTTAAATGAGATTGATAAATAATTTTTACAATAATTTATAATTATATAAAATGCAATTCCAACCATGTTATATTGAAAGAGAATTATTAATGTACTTGGATATTTTTAGTTATAATTAAATAAATGATTTTTATTATACTATAGATTGGGTTAATTTTTTTTTAATATAAAAAAGATATTTATGTGATATCAACATTTTAAAATGAGTAAAAAAAATCTAAGATTTTAGTAATTAAAATAGATAACACTTGTTATTAAAACAATAACTTGAAAAGCAAATAAAAACAAAAAAAAAAATCATGAATCGAGCATAAGAGAGTAGGTCAAGGAAAAAAAAATTAGAAACCATGTTTTTCTACATAAAAAAATCTCTTATGTAAATCAAAAAAATTATAAAATGCATCTAACTAAATAAATCAATAACCATCATGTAAAGAAATGAAAAAATAATGAAAAAAAACAAAAAAAAAATAAATCAATAACCATCATGTAAAGAAATAAAAAAATAATGAAAAAAAAACAAAAAAAAATTAATAAATAAATATAGATTAAAATATTTAATATTACAACATGAATAATTTAACCGATTGTGTTTAATGAATTTATTAATTAAAATAAATCTGTAATTGAAACTGAAACACACATAAAATTTATTGAATATAATAAAAAAAAAGTAAATGCGCATATTAAAAATATTATAAAAAATTTAATATTGTTTTTGAAAAAAATAAATTTAATATATATAAAATATAAAAATAATAATTAAATGAATCATATCAATATCTTTAAAAATTAAACATATTTACATTGTTATATGAAGAGATCAACAATAACATCAAAAACTGATCTTTTATTGTATAACAATACATAGATCTTGATTTTTTCCCATATTATTTCATTTACTCTCTTTTTTTAGAGAGAGAAAGGAGAGAAAAATATTGAGGAAAGATTAAACAGTAAGGAAGAAATATATATATATATATATATAACATTCTACATTTGTTTTTCTTTTAAAAATTTAGTTCATTACCGCTTGATTCTTGCTTAATCAAGTTTATTAAATTAAAATTATGTAGGTTGACACATTCAACAAAACATATTTATTGCATTTTAATAGTTTTTATGAAATCTCTGAAATATTGAAATAATTAGGATTTATTATATAACTCACTTAAATGTTATAATTCTTTTTGCAACCTTATTATTTTAATTGTTTGAATCCAAATCTGATAGTTTTTATATGTAGTAAATTGATTCTTATTTAATCATTTTCATTGAATTAAAATGTTAATTTTACCTTATTGAAACAGACTTTGAAAAAAAATATATTATATTATAAGAGTTATTTATGGAATCTCTAAAAAGAAAAAAATGTTCAACTAGTTTGGTTTTATTACTAAATTCGCTCATAATTTACATATATAAATCTTGAATTGAAATTTGATAAAATATCTTTTTTTGGATTTATTTAATGACCCTTTTGTTTCTTTTTATTTAGTCAAGGTCATTAAAGTAATATGGCTATGTTACCCTTTGAGAGTTCATTATAAAGTTTATCAAAACCATGTTCAAATAGTAATTTTGGTTACTCTTTTGATAATGAGAGCTCATTTTTCTTATTGATTTAAGATATATTTATTTTGCGTCAAATATATTCTAATTAAAAAACGAGTTATTTTTCATTAATTGAATGCATATTAATTTTCCTATAAAATAAATTATTTTCATTAATAGGTTTTAAATGATAGTAATAAAATGAAGAAAGCACCTTTATTTTCTACTCCTTTTGAACCAAGGTCTCACTTTCATTGCCATCTGAACAAGTCCTTTTCAACAAATGACTTGTATGCATATTACAAATAAATAACACGATATTAAAAAAAAAAAAAAAAAAACATGTACGTGCATTTCATTTACAATGTGACACCATCGACATCATCCCTGTAATTCCTGACAGAATGTTTCCACTAGCATTTATTTGGCAAATCCTTTTGCTGTGTGCAGAGGAGGGAAATGGAAGCTATATTCTCCTTGATGGTATGCAGGATTTGTGCAGCAGAAGGCCTAAGACTTGGAGCCTGTCCAAGGCAAAGAGCTGCAAGGGAAATCATAGCCATGACTTCCTTGACTTCGAAGTCTCCTCCCAATTTTGGATCCACCATTTCTGCCACCTTCGTCGGGTTGCACTCACCACCACTAGCAATTATGCTCTTCAAAATGGGTCCAATCATTGATGTCAATAGCTGGCCCTGGCCTCTTTCCTCACAAAATGCCTCCATTCCCGTCAGAAGTTCCAAAATGATGACTCCATAGCTGTACACATCATTCTTCTTTGATGCTATTCCTGTTCTAAGGTAGTGTGGATCAGTATAACCCGGAGAACCCATCATGACTTGCTTCCTATTATTGGAAGTCATTACTGTAGAAGAAAATCCCATCTTTGCGAACCCAAAATCACATAGCTTGCAATTGAGTTGCTCATCGAGTAAAATATTTGAAGGTTTGATGTCACCATGTACAATTTGGAGAGGACATTTTTCATGTAAATATTCAAGAGCTTGAGCAAGTTGGTAAGCTATTGCCATTCTCTGTCTCCATGAAAGTACTGTACTTCTTGATGACTCCCTAATTTCTCTCCCTGCACCATGGAGTTTGTCTTGCAAGGTTCCATTGGAAACGTACTCAAATACCAAAGCACCTTCGTCTGAGAATTAAACACAATAAAGATAGATTCTTAGCACAAGAACTTAGATTTAACAACAAACAAGTAATGTTACTAACAATTTTCTCAAGTAAAACCAGGCACAAACCTTGATTGTCACAGTATCCTAGAAGCTTGACAATGTTGTCATGTTGGAGGTGGAGCAGGATGTCTAGTTCTTGCTTGAAGACTCTATTAAGATAGTCACTTGGGCAGTGAATCTTGATTGCCCCAATGCTGGAACCAGGCAAGCGCGCCAAATATACTGTGCTAAACCCTCCTGATCCAACAATCTGAGAGAAATTCATTGACAGCCTCTCTATCTCACTCCAACTGTATTTCCTTGCACAGCCATTAGCGCCATCAAAATCCTTTTCCTTTTTCCGGTCAAGATGATCAGTACCATTTGAAGCAGCAGCAGCATCGATTTTCTTGGTGTCGCTTTTGTGTCCGAATTTGAGTCTGAGAAAGCAGCCCATGATGATGACAAGCAAGAGAAGAACACTAGAGAAGCAGCGATCGAGAACTATGACAATTCTATGTTGAAAGAGATAGTGGTGGTGTCCTTAATTAAGGACTAGTTGTCGGTGGATGGATAGTTCTAGGGGGGATGGCAATGGTGGGTATGGTGGCGGGTTGCTTAAGGGAATCCACAGAGAAGGTGAGTTGAGAGGAGTAACAGAGAAGAGATCATAAGAAAATACGTGAAGGGATGGGCCAGCACCACCAGAACCTGCAGACAACTTGGCATCTGGTTGGAACTAGTCTCATGCTTACCAGAACTCATAGAAACATCTCCAATGGTCTTTGGATTTGTGTGTGGCAAGGAAGGTAACATATGGAGTCAGAATCTGACAGATTCAATCCATTCCTTTTAAAACATACTTGGAAATTAAATTAAGACACAAGATCATCAACTAATTACATTATTAATTAATTCTTGCTGTTATTGTTTATTTGCCAAGCAGATTTTTTTTTTCTATTATTTTAAAGATGAACAAAGACTTCATCTCCATGTGCTCTTGGTCTAAAGTGCAGACACTATATGCCCTAGCTATAACTAAAGAGAGCTTAAAATACGTACAAATGGTGATTCTTGTAAGAAATAATTATTTTTCTTTTTTACAAACTATCATAGCACTTACAGATGAAGCAAGTTTCCTCGTAAAATTATTTCTCTCTTTTCTCGTAAAGATGAAATTAATTTTCTATATGAACACGAGAAACCATACATGAATTAATGATAGCATGGGATTTTATCTCATTCTCCCATCTTTAATCCGGAAAGGAAGATGGTGACGTGCTAACAGCAACACGGAATTACCAATAATTAAAGAAGAGAGAAAGCAAGAGGCTTGATTCTTTACATCTAATGATTTGAAATTAAAAAAAATAAAAAATCTGGCAAGTCAAATTGAGGTTGCTGGCTGGCTGGTTCTTCTCCCTTTCTTCAAACGTGCTTTTTATTCATGACCATGCCTTCATATCAAGAAGGTAATCAATAGCTTCACAATTATATAAGCCCTTGTTGTTGATCTTCACATGGAAGTTGACTCAATTATCTTACTGTTTATCATAGCAAATTTCAAATTAAATTTAGTAAAAATAGATCTGATGATATGATATTATTGATCAATCTACTATCTAGTTAACAACGAGTTTAATATTTTTTAATTATTTTTTAAAATATTAAAATAATATTATTTTAAATTATACATCAATTAACCTACTCAACCCTACTAGTAATTGATATATGATTTTAATAGCTTTGGCATTTTGCCTTCCAAAAACTTGGTTCTTTATCTTAAGGAGACTC